GGGGTTTGCTCTCTGTTTATATACAGTTAGCCTGATATATAAACAGAGAGCAAGCCCCACTCCCTTCTAGCACTGAAGATGTTACCTAGCTGGGTAACGAAACGTCCACAAGAAAACAACCAAGCTCAGAGAACCTCAAGGACTCCTCAGATCTTTCCTTTACCATCTAAATCACTGGCAGGCCCATCACTCACTCATCTGAGGAAAAAAATGAAGCACCCATAAATCAACTTTACTTGGATGGAAATCCTATAGAAATTAATAATTTTGCTTCCAAATAAAGTACACAGTAGACCAGGCTCAAATATTCATTCCCTGACTCTCTGCAGGAGGAAGTTTTCCTGATTCTTTTTAAAAGTCCCTCTCCCGTTAACTTTATGGCAGGAAATCAGAGAAGTTAAGTAGTATATTGTATAAAGAAGAGTTCTTTGCATGGACAAGAAGAAGCCTAGTTAATTACAGCTTAAAAAATGACAATTTATGCCTGTATCTTCAGAAGTAAATCCTAATGTTCAACACATTGACCAGATCAAGGAGGGGGAAATTCGGTTCTCCAGATGTTGCTAAATTACTGGAGACAGAGTTGCGATTCAGCAACATTTTGAGAATCATAGTTTCTCCAGCCGCATACATGCGTTATGCTGCTTTGAGCTATACTTTTAAAGAAACATGCATAAAGCTTTATAAACTTTTAAATACTAAATGTCCATTAACGGGCAAAAAGTTGCATTGCGAGGATCTGGTTAGCATTCAGCTCGTATGCTGAATGTTTTGATGCCGAGTTAAAAAGAATTTTAACCTGCCCTTGATTTGATCAGCAATGGCATTCATGGAATGACTTGGCCCAACTGCTATCACGAGCCTGAAGTACTTTTTAAGAATGCAAATTAACGTATCAAACAGGAAGATGGTGGAGTGAATCCTGCAGTGTCCGGGGGTTGGACCTGATGACCTCCTAGTTCCCTCTTAACTCCATAAGAGGAGTTATTAGTTCTTTAAAGAGGAGAAGTAAATATACTTGCTCAGCTACAGGTGTTGGTCAGACAGCAATACAGGTAAGACTGTAATTGCCAATTAGTGCAGTTAAAAACATTTTTAAGCATTTGAGTTTCACACAGAAACGACCCTTTCCAAACTTATATTCTCACACATCTGTTTGTTCCCACGTACGTGCACAATTTAGGGTGCCAAGAATTGCTGCCAACCTACCTGTTGAACTGCGTACTAGTCCACAACTTAATGCCGTATAAAAAGATCACTTCTCTATGCAATTTCACACTTTTTGCTGCAACAAATATCTTGCAGCTGTTTGTATGGAAGTTGTTTTCACCCTTCCCTTGCAATTCCTCAATTCTCCACCCTTGGAAAAAGGAATGGGTTTTCCCCCCTGTTTTTTTGCCTAGCCCTCCTATTCTTTGGATGGTGGGCACCAAATCTAGGTGCCATCTAGACCTTCTGGATCACAGTCCCCATCATCTCAGACAGTATAACCATCGCTTGCTGTAACTGGGAATGATGGAAGGCCCAGTCCAGCATATCTGAAGACGCAGAGTTTGCAGAAGGCTGCTAGAATGGAACAGAAGGCTCTTGAATAAAGCTTAGTTCTAAACTGCTCAAAAAACATGTAAATTATTGTAACGTTGCTCTATGTGAGCTTCCCACAACCTCCTTTTCACCCCATATGTAGTTCTTTGCCTGTGGAATTTAGCCCAAAGGAGGGAGGGGGCAACTATACTTTTTCAGGGGGCTAAAACTATCCAAATTTAAATCAAAATCTGCTTTAAGTAAATATATACAGGATTATACTGTAACTCCGCAGCAGCCTTCCTTCAACCCTGTTGGACTTATACTTGCCACTATTCCTTTCCTCTCAGACTGCATTGGGCTACAACTAGTTGCCATGGCTGGGGCAGAGTGATGGGTACTGTGGTTGGGCATCTGCAGTCATCATGGCTTGGGCAGAGCGATGGGTGTGGTGGTCCAGAACCTGCAGTCACTATGGCTGGAGCAGAGTATGGATGTTGTGGTCTGGCATCTGCAATCACTACTGCTGGAAGAGGGCAATGGGTGCCATGGTCCAGCATCTGCAGTCACCATGGCTATGGCAGACTGATGGGTATTGTGGTCCACCACCTACAGTCTCCACTGTTGGCAGAAAGTGATGGGTGTTGTGGTCCAGAACCAGCAATCACCATGTTTGGGGTAGAGTAACGGGTGCTGTGGTGTGGTCTGACACCTGCAATCAAGGCTATGTAAAATGATGGGTATTGTGATCTAGCCACTGTAGTCACCACAGCTGGGAAGAGTGATGGGTGTTGTGGTTCAGTCTCCATGTTGGCAAAAAGTGATAGGTATTGTGGTCGGGCACCTGCCATCACTACAGATGGACAAAGTGATGGGTATTGTGGTCCAGCCACCACAGACAGGAAGTGATGGGTGCTGTGGTCCACCACCTCCAGTCTCCCTGTTGGCAGAGAGTGATGGGTGTTGTGGTCTAGCCCCTGCTGGGCAAGGTGATGGGTGTTGTGGTCTAGCCCCTACAGTCTCCTCTGTTGGCAGAGTGATGGGCATTGTGATCGGGCACCTGCCGTCACTACAGCCGGGCAAAGTGATGGGTGTTGTGGTCCTGCCACCAGACAGGAAGTGATGGGTGCTGTGGTCCACCACCTGCAGTCTCCCTGTTGGCAGAGAGCGATGGGCGTTGTGGTCTGCCCCCGCCGTCACTACAGCCGGGCAAAGTGATGGGCGCTGTAGTCCGGCACGCCCCCCGCCCCGCGCCCCAGACCGGCGGGCTCACCCTCGTCGGAGTCCCGCGCGCGCCCGCTGCGCTCGCCGTCCTCCTCCTCGGCGGGGCTGTCCAGCTCCTCCTCCTCATAGCTCTCGGCGGTGGCGGCGGCGATGGCGGCGGGGCCGGCCCCCGGGGGCAGCGTGGAGGCCGGGGGCGGCAGCGGCGGCCCCGGGGGCAGCGCGGGGGAAAACCAGC